ATAGGCTTGATGTATATTGCCTTTTCTATGTTTAGATATGTGCCTTGTATTCCTGATCTCTCCAAGACTTTAAACATGAATGGGTGTTGGACCTTGTTGAATGCTTTTTCAGCATCTAAGGAGAAGATCATGTGTTTTTTTTTTTCTTTCAGTTTGTTAATATTGTGGATCACATTGATGAATTTCCTTGTATAGACCACCCCTGCATACCTGGAATGAAGCCTACTTGGTCATAGTGGATGATGTCTTTGATGTGTTCTTATATTCGTTTTGCAAGTATTTTATTGAGTATTTTTGCATCAATGTTCATAAGCGAGATAGGTCTAAAGTTCTCTTTTTTGGTTGGGTCTTTGTGTGGTTTAGGTACCAAGGTGACTGTGGCTTCATAGAATGAGTTTGGTAATGTTCCTTTTGTTTCTATTTTGAGGAATAGTTTGGAGAGAATTGGAGTTAGCACTTTTTTTGAAGGTCTGGCAGAATTCTGCACTGAATCCATCTGGTTTTTTTTTGGAAGTGAGACTGTTGATGACTGTTTCTATTTCCTTGGGGAATATAGGCCTATTCAATCTTTCTACCTGATCTTGACTTAATTTTGGGAGATGGAATCTATCAAGAAAATGTTCTATTTCTTTCATATTTTCAAATTTTGTGGCATATAGGCTTTTGTAGTAAGACCTAATGATTGTTTGGATTTCCTCGGTGTCTGTAGTTATGTCCCCTTTTTCATTTCTGATTTTGCTGATTTGGATAGTTTCTCTCTGCCTTTTAGTTAGTTTGGTTAAAGATTTGTCTATCTTCTTGATTTTCTCAAAGAACCAGCTCTTGGTTTCACTGAGTCTTTGAATAGTTTTATTTGTTTCTAATTGATTGATTTCAGCCCTGAGTTTGAGTATTTCCAGCAGTCTGCTCCTCTTGGGTGTATTTGCTCCTTTTTTGTAGGGCTTTCAGTTGGACCATTAAGTTGTTTGCATGAGATATCACAAATTTCTTCTTGGAGGCACTTAGTGCTATGAATTTTCTTCTGAGCATTGCTTTCATCGCGTCCCACAAATTAGGGTATGTTTTACCTTCATTTTCATTGAATTCTAGGAAGTCTTTAATTTCTTTCTTAACCCAGCTGTCATTGAGCAGCAAGTTGTTCAGTTTCCATGTGCTTGTAGGCTTTTTTCTAATTCCATTGTTGTTTAGGTCCAGCTTTAGTCCATGGTAGTCAGATAGAATACAGGAGATTATTTCAATCTTCTTGTATCTGTTGATGCTTGCTTTGTGACCAACTATATCGTCTATTTTGGAGAAGGCTCCATGAAGTGCTGAAAAGAAGGTATAATCTTTTGATTTTGGGTGGAAAGTTCTGTAAACATCTATTAGGTCCATTTGATTTAGGACTCCTGTAATTGCCTTTATTTCCTTATTAGGCTTTGTGTAGATGATCTGTCCCTTGGTGAAAGTGGTGTGTTGAAGTCTCCCACTATTAAGGTGTTGGAAGTGATGTGTGATTTAAGTTTTAATAATGTTTCATTTATGAATGTAGGCGCTCTTTTATTTAAGGCATAGATGTTCAGAATTGTGATGTCCTCTTGGTGGATTTTTCCTTTGATGAGAATGTAGTGTCCCTCCTCATAAGTTTTGATTAATTTTGGTTGAAATTCCATTTTATTAGATATTAGGATAGCTACCCCAGCTTGTTTTCTGGGTTTGTTTGCTTGAAAGACATTTTTCCAGTCTTTTACTCTGAGGTAGTATTTATCTTTGTTGCAGAGGAGCATTTCTTGGATGAAGCAAAATGGTGGATCTTGTTTCCGCACCCATTCTGTTAGTCTGTGTCTTTTTATTGGCCAGTTGAGTCCATTGATGTTGATAGATAATAGTTACCAATGAACGTTAGTTCCTTTAATATTGGAGTCGGTGGTCTTACTGTGTTTCATTGCTTGTTTTCTTTTATTCTGTTGGGATATTATCTGTATGCTATGTTTTCTTGGGTGAAGTTGTTTTCATTGGATTGGAGTTTTCCTTCTAGTATCTTCTGTAGGGCTGGTTTGCTGTGTAGATATTGCATAAATTTAGTTTTGTCATGGAATGTTTTCTTTTCTCCTATGTTGACTGAAAGCTTTGCAGGATATAGTAGTCTGGGTTGGCATCTGTGGTCTCTTAGTGTCTGCATGACACCTGCCCAGGCCCTTCTGGCTTTCATAGTTTCTGATGAGAAGTCTGGTGTGATTCTCATAGGTCTACCTTCATATGTTACTTGGCCTTTTTCCTTTGCTGCTTTTAATATCTTTTCTTTGTTCTGTAGATTTAGTGTCTGTGTGTGTGTGTGTGTGTGTGTGTGTGTGTGTGTGTAAGTCTGCGAGGAATGTGTCTCAAGTGACAGAGTGATAGAGAATTTTGACCCCTTGAGTGCGTGGGAGGGGCTCTGCCTTACAGGCTTCTAGGTGGTTATTTGTATGTAGCAGGTGCTGGTGATGGTCGCTGCACAATTTCTGGCATTAACTGCCTTAACTCCTCAGCTGGACCTGCAGAGCAGGGGCTTCAATGTCCCAAGTGACCCTCTTTTTCCCACAGTGGGTATGTGGGTGTGAGGGGTCCAACGTCTGGCTTCTATTTTAGAAGGACCCTGGATCAGGGGATCTATAGACATTCAAGGGCCCACTCACTCTCAAGCAGGTCACATCGGCAAGGATGGGGTATCCGGCTCTCTGCTCTCCGGTTTGGCCCTGCTTGTTCTTATGCAGGAGGACTGAAACATTCCACCAGTTCAGTGCTGCTGCAGCCGCCAAGTTAGGAAGTGCAGCTGCAGCTATAGACTGGGATGCCGGTCCAGATGCCTTTTGGGAAATGCTTGGGGTCCTCAACCGTGCTCTCCAAGCCTGAGAGGCCCAGCGCCTAGTGTGTTTAGGTTGTATGACACAGACACACACGCGCATGGGCACCTGCATTTGCCCTTTTGTGCCCGCTTACTTTCCTCTCATAGATACAGCTAGTGCACCAACCCACACACTGAGACCACGGGACCTCTCTCAGCTTCCTGAAGATCTCACCAGATGCCAGAGAGAGATAGTACCAGTCTGAACTGCAGAATCCAGAAACAAACAGGGAAGGTTTCAGATAAACCAATGGCCAGGGGTAGGCGAAAGAACACATCCAACATAAATCAGGACATCATAACTTCACCAGCAACCCCCAAAATTGATGGATACTCCAATTCATCAGAAGCACAGGAAAATGACTTTAAAGCTATACTTACCGAATTATTTGAGGCTCATAAAGAGGAAACAATTCTCTCAGAGCAATAGCCATGCAAATTCAGACAGTTAAGACGATATATACAAATCTATCAAAGATTTGGCCAATCAATTGGAGGAAGCACTATTTCTAAATGTCTGAGAAAACACCAGATTGATTGCACAAAAATAAAGTCCAAGTGGATCAAACACCTCAACATAAAACCGCAATAGAGGGAGATTTTAAAACCACTTTATTTTATCCTTTACTCTAAAGTAGCAACTATGTGGCTAAAGCTCCCAAGGTTTTGTATTTGTTGGGCATGTAACTCCACCCACTTTTTTCAAGTATGTTTGTACCAGCTTTCGTTTTTGATGATTTCATTCATTGCTTAGCTTCTCTCTAATTCCCTTTCAGAAATTGGAAGTTTAGCTTGGTGTGGTTTCCATTCCATTTAGCATCATTTCTTTTAGTTGTCATTTCATTTAGTATCAGGCTATAAAATTTTTATCTCCTTGAGCTCTACGTGTAGCTCCATTACGCTTCATGGTGCACTTTTTTCCTCAAACTGGACATTTGTATTCTCCCTTGCTTACTTTGCTCCTTTTCTCTGTGTAATATTGATCACTAGTATCCACACAAGGAAATCAAATTAGTTTATCTTAACATTTCCTCTCCCAATATCTTTCAATTTAGCCTCAGGGAAACTTTTTAGAACAAGTACAAAAAAAATCACAAACATTTTTTGCAAAATTATAGAAGAACAGTCTCTTAGCCTCTTTGATTTTCTCCTTTAAAAATTCTTGACCTGGGCAACAACTATTCAAATGTCCCTTTTACTGTCTTCCATGATTCTTCTGGTAGGCCTATTAATCCCAACTTAAAGCATTCAACTTCTTCCCTAATCCAAAGTACCAAACTTCACATTCAGCAGAATGGTCAGGCCCGTCACAGTAATACAATTTCTCTCTAGTATTTCTGCCTGGGTGTGTGTTCTATTGACATAAAGAGACAACGTGACTATGAAAATACTTATAAAAGAAAGTATTTTATTGGAGCTTGCATACAGTTTCAGAGATATTCCATTATAATTATGCCAGGGAGCTTTAGAAGCATGCAGTCATGCATGGTTCTGGAGAAGTACCTGAATGTTCTACATCCAGATTCTCAGGTATCAGGAAGAGAGCGTCACTGGATTTGGCCTGAGCTATGGAAAACCCAAGGTTTATGCTCAGTGACATACAACCTCCAGCAAGACCACACCTAATCCAGTAAGACCAAACCAACTCCAAAAATAATGCATCTCTTAATACTTACAAATCATTCCATTCCCTAGTGACATTCAAACCTATGACCATATAGGGAAGTTACTCACTCAAACTACTACACACGTACAGCCCAAATATCTGTGTCCAATAAGCTTAAAGTTTAAGCTTAAAGCTTAAGAGTTCACCACTCTGAGCTGTTATACATTATTATTTATAATGACCAAGAAAATTCAGGTAATTTTCCTATTTTAAACACTTTTATAAATATAAAAATTAGTAAGTAAGAATATATATTTTCTCTTCATTATTTTTTTGTGAAGTTGGTATGCTCCATCACTAGGGATAATTACAGAGCACCATGATCTCATTGCTTCCTAGAGCAATAAATAATAAAATTGTTACTGAATAATAAAATGTTTATTGTGCTAGTCTCTGATTAATACAGACACTAAATTATTAAGTATACAGTGATTTAATTTTATTACAGATTGTTTGTATGTTCTTCAGCAGGTATGGAGCAGTGTGTGAGCTGTCCAGATGACCAGTATGCCAACGCAGAGCACACATACTGCCTGCAGAGGCAGGTCTCTTTTCTGGCTTATGAAGACCCATTGGGGATGGCTCTGGCTTGCATGTCCTTGTGTTTCTCTGCACTCACAGCTCTTGTACTTGGTGCTTTTGTGAAGTACAAGGACACTCCCATTGTGAAAGCCAATAACCGCATTCTCAGCTACATCCTACTGATCTCCATCACCTTCTGTTTCCTCTGCTCATTGTGTTTTATTGGGCACCCCAACATGGGAACCTGTATCTTACAGCAGATGACATTTGGAGTCTTCTTCACAGTGGCTCTTTCTACTGTCTTGGCCAAGACAATTACTGTGGTCCTGGCCTTCAAGATCACTACTCCAGGAAGAAGGATGAAATGGATGCTGGTGTCAGGAGCACCTAACTTTCTCATTCCCATTTGTACCCTCATCCAACTAATTATCTATGGAATCTGGCTGGTAACATCACCTCCATATGTTGATACTGATACACACTCTGAACATGGGCAGATCATCATTGTATGCAACAAAGGCTCAGTCATTGCATTCCACCTTGTCCTGGGATACTTGGGCTCTTTGGCTCTGGGGAGCTTCACTCTGGCTTTCTTGGCCAGGAATCTGCCTGACAGATTCAATGAAGCCAAATTCCTGACCTTCAGCATGCTGGTGTTCTGCACTGTCTGGATCACCTTTCTGCCTGTCTACCACAGCACTAAGGGGAAGGTCATGGTGGCTGTGGAGGTCTTCTCCATCTTGGCCTCCAGTGCAGGGCTGTTAGGGTGCATCTTTGTGCCAAAGTGTTATGTTATTTTGATGAGACCAGATTCTAATTTTCTTCAAAAGTACAGAAATACATCACTGCGTTGAACCTTCATAGTTTAAAGATTATACTTAATTAGTTTTAGATTATACTTAAAATATCTGTTTCCTTTCCCTGGGAATTGTCACTTTTACAATTCCCAGATTTTTTTCAGTTATAAGTTTGAAACCTTTTGATCTTTCCTCCATCTAGTTTGACAAATTCATTGGTGTTCTGCTCACAATTTGTGAGTTATGTGAGTAATAACTTTTCGTATGCTTTCTGCTGTTCCAAGAAGACATATTATCACAGTATGCTTCCTCATCCTTTGACTCTCAAGATAGTTTTAAAAATTTCTTCTTCAAAAGAGGGAGAGGGCTACAGCTGGTATACAAGTGAATGTATAAAATTATTTAAAAATAAATAAATATTTTAAAAAATTCTTCTTCAATTATCCACAAGACTTTGGTTTGGGAGGGTTTTTTAGATGAACCCTTGCTTGAAATAGAGGAATCGTTAACAAAAGAACACCAGTTTGTCTTTACTTCTCCTACTTCTTCTGGTAGCATGCAGAGTACTTTCTAGCACCTTTCATGCTAGTCAGTAGGCTTGACTCTATAAGTTGGGCCCCAAGTCAACTGTTCTATATTTGGGGACATAAGCAAGTGTTTACCCATGAAATATCACCTTACCACCATTGCATAAGGAGAAACTCCACCACTGAGATCTATGTGGAAAAGGTGGTAGAAAGATTGTAAAAGATAGAGTTAGTGGGTAGATTTTAAAAAGCATCATGATGCGGAAACAAATGGACATATGAATTTACAAATACTTTGGAAGCATTCATAAGCCCTGCAGAAATACAACCCATAAGCATTCCAGTTCTAACATTTGCAGAAGGACTCAAAAATCTCATCTCTAAATAAGACATATTTTGCAATTTACACCTACTATAAAAAAAAATCATTTTTTATGACAGAATTTCACTATTTGTTTCAACCACACTCCAGGGAATGGTCATGCCTTATGTTTTAGTTGGCCAAAACAAAGGGGTTTTTTGTTATGTGTAAGTGTTGTAGGGACATTTAGGGTTTTATTTTCTTTGGGCGTTTATTTTGTCTTACTCTATTTTGTTTGTTATGATTTCCATTTTTGCTTTGTTTTGTTTAGGAGAGAGAGAAAAACAAGAAATAGATTCATAGACTGATGAATCTATTGGGGAGCATTGTACAGAGGGAACCTAAATATTATCAAAATGTATGATTGAAAAAATAATAAAAAATAAAATTAGAAATACATATAAAATGTATCTAGCTGTATATTCAGATGTAAATACTAAATAGATTTACGCTTTTTGGGTTGACAACAACCCCCAATATCTACAGGTAATCTTTCAAGAGCCTCCTTATTAACATAATAAATTGTTCTTTGAGTCATATTCCAAGGGAACCCAAAAGATTCTCAAAACTATAAATGCAGACATTTACCTTGTTGCCTCCCAGAAGCTGAAATGATGCCCTATTGCTGAAGATACCACATCCTTCAGATACCAGACATGCAAGTACTTAGCTGAAACTGACTAGGAAGCCTCCAAGTCCAACATATCTGTAAAGCCTATGAAATCAGAAAAGCAAAATCATTTGCAATAGCTACAAACATAAAAAATCTCTTGGCGTAAGCCTAACAAAGCAAGTGAGAAATGTGTATAATAAAAACTATAGATTTTGAAGAAAGAAACTGAAGAAGATATCAGAAGATGGGCTTCTGGTCTTGGTATATTGGTATAATTAACATGGTAAAATGACCATGCTACTGAAAGCAAGCTAAAGAGTTAATACAGTCTCTATCAATATTCCAACACAATTCTTTGCACACCTTGAAAGGAAAAATATTCAATTTCATGTGGAAAAAAACAAAACAAAACCCACGGTGGCTAAAAATAATCTTATTCTTTAAAAGAGCTTGTGGAGGTATCAGCAATCCTGATTTCAAGCTCTACTACAGAGCCAAACGCACTGCTTGCTCTACACACACTGATGATAATGCCCTATTACTGAAGACAACACCTACACAAACCACCAAAACAGTGACATATTGTGCTACTGCCTACTTGGAACCTTCATGATTATTGACTATTATTCATGTTACTGGAAAGTACTCTGCCTGTTAACAGAGTAGAAAGGTAAACACTAGAACAACTACAAAACCTTTGATCTCCAAAGGTTCCCTTCCTCTCAGCACCTCAAGGAAATGTCTCCAAAAATGACTACATACTGGAACAGAAAGTAAGCCTCAAAAAATACAAGAAAATGAAATAACACCTTGTATTCTGTCAAACCATCATGAATTAAAGCTAGATTTCCACAACAGAAGCAATAGAAGTCCCACAAACTCATGAAAACTGAACACTTTCTACTTAATGACCACTGTGTCAGGGATGAAATAAAGAAAAAAAATAAAGACTTTCTAGAAATTAATGAGAATAAAGGCAAAACATACCCAAACTTATGGGACACAATGAAAGCATGGCTAAGAGGAAAGGTCACAGCACTAAGTGCCTTCCTAAAGAAAGTGGAGAGAGCTCATACTAGCAACTTAACAGCTCACCTAAAAGCAATATATAAAAAGGAATAAAACACTCCCAAGAGGCAGGACATAATCAAACTCAGGGCTGAAAGCAATACCTAGAAACAAAGAGAACAATACAGGGAATCAATAAATCAAGATCTCTTTTTTTTTGTTTGTTTGTTTTTTGTTTTGTTTTGTTTTATTTTGTAAATCAACAAGATAGACAAACCCTTGGTGAAACTAACTAAAATACAAAGGGAGAGTATACAAATTAATAGTTTAAGAAATGAAAATGGGATATAATAACAGATACTGAGGAAATCCAAAGAATCATTAGATCATACTTCAAAAACTATGTGCCATAAAATTGGAAAATCTAAATGAAAGGGATTATTTTCTTGATAGATACCACCTACCAAAGTTTAAATCAAAATCAGGTTAACAATTTTTTTTCAAGTTTTTTTTTATTAATTACACTTTATTCATTTTGTATTCCCCATAAGCCCCTCCCTCCTCCCCTCCCGATCCCACCCTCCCTCCCCTTTCTGCATGCATGCCACTCCCCAAGTCCACTGATAGGGGAGGTTCTCCTCTTCTTTCTGATCTTAGTCTATCAGTTCTCATCAAAAGTGGCTGCATTGTCCTCTACTGTGGCTAGGCTGCTCCCCCCTCAGGGGGAAGTGATCAACGAGCAAGCCAATCAGATTGTGTCAGAGGAAGTCCCTCTTCCCATTACTATGTAACCCACTTGGACACTGAACTGCCATGGGCTACACCGGTGCAGGGGTTCCAGGTCATCTCCACGAATAGTCCTTGGTTGGAGTATGATTTTCTGGGAAGTTCCCTGTGTTCAAATTATCTTGTTCTGTTGCTCTCCTTGTGGAGTTCCCGTCCCCTCCAGCTCTTACTATTTCCCACTTCTTACATAAAATTTCATTCACTCTGCCCATCAGTTGGCCATCAGGCTCAGCATCTGCTTTGACAGTCTATACTGCAGAAGCTTTCAGAGGCCCTCTGTGGCAGGTTTCAAGGTTGTTTCCTGTTTTCTTCTGGCTTTCAGAGGCCCTTTGTAGCAGGTTCGGAGGTTGTTTCCTATTTTCTTTTTCTTCTGTTGTCCATCCTCTTTGCCCTTCAGAATGGGGATTGAACATTTTAGTTAGGGTCCTCTCTTTTGCTTAGTTTGTTTAGATGTACAGATTTTAGTGGGTTAATTTATATTGTATGTTTATATGAGTGAGTATATACCATGTGTGTCTTTTTGCTTCTGGGACAACTCACTCAGGATGATCCTTTCCAGGTCCCACCATTTACCTGCAAATTTCATGATTTCCTTATTTTTCATTGCTGAGTAATACTCCATTGTATAGATGTACCACAATTTCTGCATCCATTCTTCAGTTGAGGGGCATCTGGGTTGTTTCCAGCTTCTGGCTATTACAAATAACGCAGCTACAAACATGGTTGAGCAAATGTCCTTTTTGTGTACTTGAGCCTCTTTTGGATATATGCCTAGGAGTGGTATGGCTGGATCTTGAAGAAGCGCTATTCCTAGTTGTCTGAGAAAGCACCAGATTGATTTCCAGAGTGGTTGTACAAGTTTACATTCCCACCAGCAGTGGAGGAGGGTTCTCCTTTCTCCACAACCTCTCCAGCATTTGTTGTCCCTTGTGTTTCTGATCTTAGCCATTCTGGTGGGTGAAAGGTAAAATCTCATGGTTGTTTTGATTTGCATTTTCCTATTGGCTAATGAGGTTGAGCATTTCTTTAAGTGCTTCTCTGCCATTCGATATTCCTCTACAGAGAATTCTTTGTTTAGCTCTGTTCCCCATTTTTTAAGTGGATTACTTGGTTTGCTGCTTTTCAGCTTCTTTAGTTCTTTATATATATTGGATATGAGTCCTCTGTCAGATAAAGGGTTGGTGATGATTCTTTCCCAATCTGTAGGCAGTCGCTTTGTTTTGATGACGGTGTCCTTTGCTTTACAGAAGCTTTTCAATTTCATGAGGTCCCATTTATTGATTGTTGCTCTTAGAGCCTGTGCTGTTGGTGTTCTGTTCAGGAAGTTTTCTCCTGTACCAATGAGTTCTAGGGTATTCCCCACTTTTTTTTCTAGCCGATTTAATGTGTCTGGTTTTATGTTGAGGTCTTTGATCCACTTGGACCTCAGTTTTGTGCAGGGTGATAATTATGGATCTATTTTCATTTTTCTACATGTAGACATCCAGTTGGACCAGCACCATTTGTTGAAGATGCTATCTTTTTTTCCATTGTATGGTTTTGGCATCTTTGTCAAAAATCAGGTGTCTGTAATTGTGTGGGTTTATTTCTGGGTTTCTGTTCGATTCCATTGATCCACCTTTCTGTTTCTATGTCAGTACCATGCAGTTTTTATAACTGTTGCTCTATAGTACCGCTTGAGATCAGGGATGGAGATACCTCCAGAAGATCTTTTATTGCAGAGGATTGTTTTAGCAATTCTCGGTTTCTTGTTATTCTATACGAAGTTGAGAATTTTTCTTTCCAGGTCTGTAAAGAATTGTGTTGGCAATTTGATGGGAATTGCATTAAATCTGTAGATTGCTTTTGGTAAGATGGCCATTTTTACTATGTTAATCCTGCCAAGCCATGAGCAATGGGAGATCTTTCCATCTTCTCATATCTTCCTCTAATTCTTTCTTCAGAGACTTGAAATTTTTTTCATACAAGTCTTTGACTTGCTTGGTTAGGGTTACACCAAGGTACTTTATGTCATTTGTGGCTATTGTGAATGGTGTTGTTTCTCTAATTTCTTTCTCAGCCCCTTTGTCTTTTGTATACGGGAGGGCTACTAATTTTTTTGAATTAATTTTGTATCTGGCCACTTTGCTGAAGGTGTTTATCAGCTGTAGGAGTTCCCTGGTAGAGTTTTTGGGGTCACTCATGTATACTATCATATCATCTGCAAATAGTGATACTTTGACTTCTTCCTTTCCCATCTGTATCCCCTTGATCTCCTTCAACTGTCTTATTGCTCTAGCAAGGACTTCCAGCACTATGTTGAAGAGATATGGAGAGAGTGGGCAGTCTTGTCTTGTCCCTGATTTCAGTGGGATTGCTTTAAGTTTCTCTCCGTTCAGTTTGATGTTGGCTATAGGCTTGCTGTATATCGCCTTTACTATGTTTAGATATGTGCCTTGTATCCCTGATCTCTCCAGTACTTTAAACATGAATGGATGTTGGATTTTGTCAAATGCTTTTTCAGCATCTAGGGAGATTATAATACAGTTGAAGACCAAGGACTATTCATGGAGATAACCTAGACCTCCTGAACAGATGTAGCCCATGGCAGTTCAGTGTCCAAGTGGGTTACCTAGTAATGGGAAGAGGGACTGCTTCTGACATAATCTGATTGGCCTGCTCTTTGATCACCTCCCCCTGAGGGGAGAGCAGCCTTACCAGGCCACAGTAGAGGACAATGCAGCCACTTTTGATGAGAACTGATAGACTAAGATCAGAAAGAAGAGGAGAACCTCCCATATCAGTGGACTTGGGGAGTGGCATGCATGCAGAAAGGGGAGGGAGGGTGGGATCGGGAGGGGAGGAGGGAGGGGCTTATGGGGGGATACAAAATGAATAAAGTGTAATTAATAAAAAAAATAAAATGTAACTAATTATAAAAATAAAATTAAAAAATAAATCTAGCCAAATGTAGAAGGAAGATTAAAAAAATTAAATCATTCTGTTCAGTGTAGGGCATTACAGAACACCAAATATACTAGACCAGAAAAGAAACACATCATGTCACATCATAAAACAAAACAAAACAAAACAAAACAAAACAAAACAAAAAAACCCGATGAAAACAAAGAAATCATGAAATTTGCAGGGAAATGGCGGTATCTAGAAAAGATCATCCTGAGTGAGGTATCTCAGGAGCAGAAAGACACAAAATGTATGTATTCACTTATAAGTGGATACTAGACTTATCTGGTATTTAGTATTCACTTATAAGTGGATACTATCCTATGTTTATAAGATAGGATAAACATAGTAAAATCTGTACACCTAAAGAAGCTAAACAAGAAGGAGTAAGGGTAAGGTGATCAATCCTTACTTAGAAAGACAAATGGGATGGACATTGGAAGGAGGAGAAAACAAGGAACAGGACAGGAGCCTTCCATAGAGGGCCTCTGAAAGACTCTATGTAGCAGTGTATCAAAGCAGATGCTGAGACTCCTAACCAAACCTTGGACAGAGTGCAGGGAATCATAAGAAAGAAGAGAGTGTTAGTAAGACCTGGAGAGGATGGGAGCACCACAAGGACCAAATATATCTGGGCACAGGGGTCTTTTCTAAGACTTGATTCTCCAACCAAGGACCATGTATGGATATAACTTAGAACCCCTGCTCATCAGTACCACATGGCAGCTCAGCATCCAAGTGTGTTTCCCTAATAAGGGAAACAGGTACTGTCTCTGACAAGAACTCAGTGGCTGGCTCTTTGACCTCTACCGCCAGAGGAACGAGCAGTCCTGCTAGGCCACAGAGGAGGACATTGCAGCCAGTTCTGAAGAGACCTGACAAACTAGGGTCAGATGGAAGGGGAGGAAGACCTCCGCTATTAGTGCATTTAGAGAGGGGCAGGGAGGAGATGAAGGAGGAAGGATGATACTGGGAGGGACTAAGGGTGGTGGCTACAGCTGGGATACAAAGTAAATAACCTGTAATTAACATAAAAATTATTAAAAAAATTAGTTTCCCTTTAAAAAATACTTGCAAACCTAATCCAGGAACACAACAAAAGTATCATCACAATGACGAAATAGGCTTCATCCCAGGAATACAGAGATGGTTCAACATATGAAAGTTCATCAAAGTAATCCACAATATAAACTAATTGAAAAATAAAAACAAACACATGATCATCTCTTTAGATACTAAAAAGCCCTTTGACAAAATCCAACACCCTTTCATGTTTAAAGTCATTTCCCATCTCTTTGATTAAATTTGGTTGAACTTCAGTTTTATTATATATTAGAATGGCTACTCCACCTTGTATCTTGGCTTTTTCCTTGGAAAACCTTTTCCCAGGCCTTTGCTCTGAGATACTGTCTGTTAGCCTATGTATTTTGGTTAAGGAATTGAGTCCATTGATGTTGAGAGCTATTAATGACCAGTGATTATTAATTCATGTTATTTTGTTGTTGATGGTGGTAGTGTGTGTGTGTGTTTTCCTCCTTTTGGCTTGGTGGTCTGGACTTATATATTTCCTATATTTTCTTGGGTGTAGTTAACTTCCTTGGGTTGGAGTTTTCCTTCTAGTATCTTCTATAGGGCTGGATTTGCTCATTGATATTTTTAAAGTTTGGTGTTATCATGGAATCCTGTTTTCTTCATCTATGATGATTAAAAGTTTTGTTGGGTATAGTAGTCTGGGCTGACATCTGCGGTCTTTTAGCCTCTGCGAGGCATCTGCTCAGGCCCTTCTGGCTTTTAGAGTCTCTGTTGAGAAGTTGGTTGTATTCTGATAATTCTGCCTTTCTGTTTTCTTGGCAGTTTTTTTGTGGCACCTTTTAATATTCCTTCTTTGTTTTGTACATTTAGTGTTTTGATTATCATGTTCAGTAGAATTTTCTTTTTTCTTTTTTTTGCAACTATAAAACTTTAATTAACTTAAAGAGTTATTAGTTTGTTGCTATGTGAAAAATCATTCAAACTGTTCTTCCTTTCTTGGAATACAATGATAAAAGAATGCAAATACTATTAAAATACATAATGCTTTCCTAAAACCTATTTACAAAGTAAAAATCGACTAAGTTTTCTTTTGTTCAAGTGATGGTAGGATGGGTGAAAAACCTTGATTTGGGGACATTGTTTCTTAGTCTCCAGAATCTAGCCTTTACATGCTCTCCTAGGAAAGCAGTGTCTATTTGATGTGATAATTCTGTATTTGGCATAGTAACCCCCTTCCTAATATTGATAAGAATAGTAAGCTGGGAGATACTCAGAGACTGACTATCACAGTCACCACTCTAGACTCTATCTTAAGGGGAATAGAGGCCCACGCACTGCGCAGTAATCTGAAGAACTTACATGAGAACAGCACTTTACAGAAAGTGTAAACTTTGCCTAGAAGAAAACTCCAAAAAAGAATAGAAGGTACAGAAAAACAAATCTCAGATCACCATGAGGAAGGACATTCTTACTCTAAAGGTAGACAGACTATATAGCTATCTCTAGAAAAATGGGAATTTTGTAGTAAGCTGTAGATATTATAGTCTTCTCTCATTGTTTTAGTTACTTTATGTTTAACTAAACCATATTATATTAAGTTTGAGGCCATTTTTTCCTTATCTTTAGAGAAAAGAAAAAAGCAAAAACAAGAGGAAGGTGAAAATCAAAGAAGAGTAAGTACAATTTTTTTTTTAATTGTTAACTGTGAAATATCTAGGAAACACTGTAAGAATCTTACTTGGAATAAATGGCATAGGATTTTCTTTTCCCTGTAATATGTATGAGTGTTTTACTTGCATGTATGACTTTATACCGTGTATAAATCTGGTACTCAGAGTACACAAGAGGGCATTTGAATCACCTAGAACTGGTATTATACATGGCTTGGAATAGCATCCTAGTCATTTGAAAGAGCAACAAATACTCTTAGCTACTGATTCATATCTCCAGCCCTGGATGTATCTTTTATTTTTTTTATTAATTACACTTTATTCATTTTGTATCCTCCCATAAGTCCCTCTCTCCTCCCCTCCCGGTCCCACCCTCCCTCCCCTTTCTGCATGCATGCCACTCCCCAAGTCCACTGAGAGGGGAGGTTCTCCTCTCCTTTCTGATCTTAGTCTATCAGTTCTCATCAAAAGTGGCTGCATTGTCCTCTACAGTGGCCTGGTAAGGCTGCTCCCCCCTCAGGGGGAGGTGATCAAAGAGCAGGCCAATCAGATTATGTCAGAAGCAGTCCCTCTTCCCATTACTAGGTAACCCACTTGGACACTGAACTGCCATGGGCTACATCTGTGCAGGGGTTCTAGGTTATCTCCATGAACAGTCCTTGGTTGGAGTATGAGTCTCTGAGAAGTTCCCTGTGTTCAAATTTTCTTGTTCTGTTGCTCTCCTTGTGGAGACCCTGTCCTCTCCAGCTCTTACTATTTCCCACTTCTTACATAAAATTCCATTCACTCTGCCCATCAGTTGGCCATCAGGCTCAGCATCTGCTTTGATAGTCTGCAGGGCAGAGGCTTTCAGAGGCCCTCTGTGGTAGGTTCCTTATTTGTTTCCTATTTTCTTCTTCTGGCTTTCAGAGGCCCTCTGTAGAAGGAAAATTTTAATACTTTTATATACACATGCTAGGTATCCTGTCATATCTGTTCTTTTAAAAAAGTCATTAGTAGGGCTGGAGAGATAGCTCAGAGGTTAAAAGCACTGGCTACTCTTACAAAGGTCCTGAGTTCAATTCCCAGCAACCACATGGTGGCTCATAACCATCTATAATGAAATCTGGTGCCTTCTTCTGGTGTGCAAACATATGTTCAGTGAGAACATTGTATAAATAATAAATAAATAAATCTTTGAAAAAAGGTTTTTTGTGGCCCCTTTTAATATTCCTTCTTTGTTTTGTACACTTAGTGTTTTGATTATTATGTTCAGTAGGATTTTCTGTTCTGGTCTAATATAATTGATGTTCTGTAAGCTTCTTGTATGTTTATTAGGTATTTTTTTCCTTTTTTACATTGGGGAAATTTTCTTCAGTGGCTTTGTTGAAAATATTTTCTGGGCCTTGGACCTAGAAGTCTTTTATTAACATATAGCTTTTTTAAAAAAAAATTTATTTATTTATTACAATTTATTCATTTTTATCCCCTCTGCAGCCCTCTCCGTTGTCTCCTCACAATCCTATCCACCATCTCACTTCTCCCTCTAGGTACTTTCCTCAGTCCCCTAATAGGGGAGGACTTCCTCCCCTTCTATCTGACACTAGCTTATCAGGTCTCATCAAGGCTGGATGCATCATATTCCTCTGTGGTTCATGTCAGAGACAGGCCCTGTACCCTGTACTCTAGAACCCACTTAGAACCTGAGCAGCCTATGGGCTTCCTTTGAACAGGGCATCTAGGTTCTTTCCATGCATGGTCCTTGGTTGGAGTATCAGTCTCTGCAGTTTCTCCCAGACTCAGATTTTCGGGTTCTGTTGTTCTCCTTGTGGAGTTCCTGTCCCCTCCAGGTCTTTCTATCTCCCTCTTCTTCCATAAGGATTCCAGATCTCTGCCCTAAGTTTGGCTATGAATCTCAGCATCTCCTTCGATACGCTGGAGGGTAGTGTCTTTCAGAGGTCCTCTGTGGAAGGCTCCCATCCTGTTCCTTGTTTTCTTTTTCTTCCAATGTCTGTCATGTTTGCTCTTTTGAATGAGGACTAAGCCTCTTTCCTAGGGTCCATTTCTTTTTTTTTTCTTTTTACTTACCTCTCTTTTTTATTTATTTTTTATTTTATTAATTACAGTTTATTCACTTTGTATTTCAGCTGTAGCCCCCCTCCCATCCTCTCCCAACCCCATCCTGCCTCCCTATTCTCCTATGCCCATCCCCCAGTCCAATAATAGGGGAGGTGTTCCTCCCTTTCCATCTGACCATAGGCTATCAAGTCTCCTCAGGACTGGCTAATTTGTCTTCCTCTGTGGACTGGCAAGACAGCTCCCCACTGAGGTGGAGGTATTCCAAGAGCCAGCCCATGAATTCATGTCAGAGATGGTCCCTGGTCCTTATATTGGGGAACCCTCTTGGATACTGAGCTGCCCTGGGCTACTTCTGTGCTGAGGTTCTAAGTTATCTCCATGCATGGTCCTTGTTTGGAGTATCTGTCTTAGAAAAGACCCCTGTGCCCAGGATTTTTGGTTCTGTTGCTCCTTTTGTGGAAATCCTATACCCTCCAGGTCTTTCTGTCTGCCTCTTCTTTCATAAGATTCACTGCACTCTGCCCAAATTTTGGCTCTGCTGGGTGAAACACTGCCACATGTCTCTGAGGCTGAAGCTCTGTGCTGCTAGTAAATAAAGATTTCCTGGAAAAGTTAGTTAAGTAATCGGATAAACTGATGCATTTTACTACAAATTTAATAGTAATGCCCAGAAAAGTTCTCTTCTTGTGCAAGCTCCCTAATTGTGTCTGGGTCAATCATACTTGAAGCTGTCTCCTGGCTAATAATTCAGCATGCCTTTCACACAAAATGCTTCTTCACCTGCTAGTCTCCTGTGTATAGCTTTTCTTTTCATAAGTTATTCCTATAATCCCTAATGATTGACTGACTGTATTCTTCAGGATTTCCACATTCACTTTCAACCTCTGAAGCTTATTACTTCAGAGAAGCAATATCCATGATTGATTTTTTTTCCTCCTAAATTTATTGAATGTTTCATGGCACTGGTCACTTGAGTTTTTGATCTTAGCCATTCTCTTTGTTGTAAGGTGAAATCTCAGGGTCGTTTTGATTTGCATTTCGCTGATGACTAAGGATTTTGGGCATTTCTTTAAGTGTTTCTCTACCGTTCAATGTCCTCTATAGAGATTTCTCTGTTTAGCTCTGTACCCCATTTTTTTAAATTGGGTTACTTGATTTGTTGGTGTTTAACTTCTTAAGTTCTTTATATATTCTGAATATTAGGCCTCTGTCTGATATAGGGTTGGTGAAGATCCTTTTCCAGTCTGTAGGCTGTCATTTTGTTCTAATGACAGTGTCCTTTGCTTTAGAGAAGCTTTTTATTTTCATGAGGTCCATTTTTTAATTGTTGATCTTAGAGCCTGTGCTGTTGGTGTTCTGTTCAGAAAGTTGTCTCCAGTGCCAATGAGTTCCAGGCTCTTCCCTAATTTTTCTTCTAACAGGTTTAGTGTGTCTGGTTTTATATGGAGGTGTTTGATCCACTGGAATTTTAGTTTTATTCAATATGGATCTATTGGCATTTTTCTACATGTAGACATCCAGTTAGTCCAGCACCATTTGTTGAAGATGCTATCATTTTCCATTGTATGGTTTTGGCATCTTTGTCAAAAATCAGGTGTCCATAAGTGTGTGGTTTTATTTCTGGGTCTTCTACTCAATTCCACTGATCCACCAGTCGTTTTCTATGCTAGAACCATGCAATTTTTATAACTGTTGCTGTATAGTACAGCTTGAGATCAGGAATGGAGATACCTACAGAAGATCTTTTATTGTAGAGGATTGTTTTAGCAATTCTGGGTTACTTGTTATTCCATATGAAGTTGAGAAGTTTTCTTTCAAGGTCTGTAAAGAATTATATTGGTAATTGGATAGGAATTGCATTGAATCTGTAGATTGCTTTTGGTAGGATGGCCATTTTTACTATGGTAATCCTAAACATCCATGAGCACAGGAGAGCATTCCATCTTTTAATATCTTCTTCTATTTCTTTATTCAGAGACTTGGAGGTTTTTTTTTTTCATACAAGTCTTTGACTTGCTTGGTTAGAGTTACACCGAGGTACTTTATGTCCTTTGTGGCTAATGTGAAGAGTGTTGTTTCCCTAATTTCTTTCTCAGCCCTCTTGTCTCTTGTATGTTGGAGGGCTATGGATTTTTTTTAGTTGATTTTGTATCCAGCCACTTGGCTGAAGGTGTTTGTCAGCTTTAGAAGTTCCCTGGTAGAATTTTTTGGGTGACTCATATATGCTATCATCTGCAAATAGTGATAATTTGACTTCTTCCTTTCCTAACTCAATCCCCTTTATCTCCTTTAATTTTCTTATTGATCTAGCAAGGACTTCAAATACTATGTTAAACAGGTATGGAGAGAGTGGGCAGCCTTGCCTTGTCCCTGATTTTACTGGGATTAATTTTTGTTTTTCTCCATTTAGTTTGATGTTGGCTATAGGCTTGGTGTATATTGCCTTTACTATGTTTAGGTAAGTGTCCTGTATCCCTGATCTCTCCAAGACTTTGAAAGTAAATGAATGTTGGATTGTATCGAATGCTTTTTCAGCATCTAAGGAGATTATCATGTGCCTTTTTTTCTTTCAGTTTGTTTATATGGAGGATTACATTGATGGATTTTCATATAATGAACCACTCCTGCATACCTGGGATGAAGCCTACTTGGTCATAATGGATGATATCTTTGATGTGTTCTTGGATTTGAGTTGTGAATATTTTATTGAGTATTTTTGCATCAATGTTCATAAGGGAGATTGGCCTGAAGTTCTCTTTTTTGGTTGGATCGTTGATTTAGGTATCAAGGTGATTGTGGCTTCACATTATGAGTTTGGTGATGTTCCTTCTGTTTCTATTTTGTGGAATAGTTTGAAGAGTATTGGTGTTAGCTCTTCTTTGAAAGTCTGGTAGAATTCTGCGCTGAAACCATCAGGCTCTGGGCATTTTTGAA